GTTTCAATAAATATGGAAATGCAGATATCTTTTTAATATCCTATTTTCATTTCCTTTGGATAGATATTAAGAAATGGGAAAACTAGATCATAAAATCAACTTACACATATCAGTTGTATTTCTATACAATGACAATGAAATACATAAAAATGAAATTTAAAAACTTTCCCATTTCCGATAGCACCAAAAACAATAAAATACTAAGAAAGAAATTTAATCAAGTAAAAGAGAGATCTATATAGTGAAAACTATATGACATTAATACAAAAAATGAAGAAATCACGAATGGAAAGCTATCTTGTGTCCATGGATTGGCAGAATTAATATTGTTAAAATGTTCATACTGCCCAAAGCTATCTATAGATTCAATGCAATCACTATGAAAAATTCCAATGGCATTTTCTATTGAAATAGAAAAAATAATCCTAAAGTTTGAATGAAACCACAAAAAAATCCGAGCAGCAAAAGCAATCCTGAGAAAAAAGAACAAACCTGGCGACATCACATTTTCTGATTTCAAGCTATATTATAAAGTTACAGTAATTAAAACAGCATAGCACTGGCATAAAAACAGACACATGGACCAGTGGAACCACATAGAAAGCCTACAAATAAACTCAACATAAAGGGTCAATTAGTATTTGACAAGAGAGCCAAGAATATTCTATGGGAAATAACAGTCTCTTCAACAACTGGTTCTGGGAAAACTGGATGATCACAAACAGAAAAATGAAATTGGACCCCATCTCATATCATTCACAAAATTTAACTCAAAATAGATTAAAGTCTTAAGCATAAGGCATGATATCATAAAACCCCTAGAAGAAAATATAGGAAAAATGCTCCTTGACATTGGTCTTGGCAATGATTTCTTGAATATGACATCCAAAACATAAGCAACAAAAGTGAAAATCAACAAATGAGACTATATCAAAGTAAACAGTTCCTGTACATTAAATTAAACAAAAAAAGCAACCTACAGAATTGGAGAAAATATTTGTAAATCATATATGGGTAAGGGGTTAATATGCAAAATATATAAATATCTCATACAAGCCAATAACAATCCAATTAAAAGATGGGCCAAGGAACCAAATAGATTTTTGCAAAGAAGGCATCCAAATGGCCAGCAGGTACATAAAAAGATACTGAACATCACAAATCATCAGGAAAAAGCAAATCAAAACCACAACGAGATATTACATCACACCTGTCAGAATTCCTATTATCAAAAAGACGAGAGGTAGGTGCTGGCCAGGATATAAATGAAAGAAAACCACTGTGCACTGTTGGAGGTATTGAAAACTGGTGTAGCCACTATGAAAAACAGTATGGAGGCTCCACAAGCAATTAAAAATATGACTACCATGGGATCCATCAATCCCACTTCTGTCTCTACATCCATGGGCTGTCTTCTAACAATAGGCAACTTGCCCCACCCAGCCAGGCATACACACAAAAACCTTAGTACTCAAAGCAGAAGATGTGCAAAGCCTCCAGGGCCCTGTGTAGCCCTGGGCCCAGGAACAGAAACCAAGGCTTTGCTGTAGGCTTGTCCCCAGTTTCTGAAAGTATGATACAGACCTCTTTGCCTTGGACTGCCTTAAAGTACCACTGCCCCAATTACGGGAAACTTTGTGGACCATGCCCAGGACTGGCCCTCAGTCTCCAGGAGAGCCTCCTGGCAGCAGCAGTAGCCCAATCTTCCAAGGCAGGGGTCTTGGACTCTGAGCAGACTCCTACCCTGTGGCCCACATACCCACTAGTTCAGCTGTGGCTGGCCTGTCCCCTGTTGTACCCTATCTGTCCAGCATCACCCCTGACCTGGCCCAAGACATTCCATACATGTCCAAATATATATATGTCCATAAATTTGCCTTCTGTAAATTCCTCTAGCTGTATATCAAGAGTCTTTTAAATGGCAAATGGAGGCACTGTCAACATTCCATGGTCAGCTGTTTCAATTTCACTTTCAGTATCACTACTGTTCTTTTCTTTGCTGGTAATTCCCTCTTTCCATGGTATGTTTTTTGGAAAGGAAGGTCTATCATTGGAAGATGAGGAGTCAACAGAACTGTACATTTTGTTATCTGAGCTGAATGTGCCATGACCAATTGCCAACAGACTTTGAAAGAAGTTATATGACTGGTCACAGATTGTCATGCACATTTGTTATTTGCATAATGATTTTTGGACTGAGGATCTAACAGGGAAATTTGCAGTCTATGCAATTACAGTTAACATACCACAAGGACTGAAATTCAAACCGCTTTGTTGAAGGACTGCTGTTATTAAGCTCAGCTATGGTAACTGAAATCCCTGTATATCAGAACCAAGCAAACTGAGGACTGCTGTACACAAATATCATAGTCCAGGCGCTTTTCAAACTTGCTGTTATACATCTCCTGGTGGGGCGGACATGGAATAAAGAAGGAACTTCAGGTCTCCAAAAGGAAAGTATTAACCAAATGAAGTACAAAAGAGTGGAGACAATAGAAGGTACAAATTACAAGAGTCTGGCTGTGAACAAATGGTGCTACGTGACTATGTCATCTCAGGCAAGACGCCAGGGGTAACAACTCCTACCTTATAGGGTTAAGAATTAAATGAATAATTTATGTAAGAGGATGAGAATAGTACCAGCACTCTGAAAGCATTCTCAAACACTGGCTAAGAAGAGCGAATCCAAATGACTGAGACAGTGTTCCCCGGTAGAAAAGCCTCTCATGCTTTCCCTAGTATAATTTTCTTCTAGATTTACCTGCTTCCTCTTTAGGAATACTGACAAATTTGCAGCTGAGGTGCTGAGGTGACAGGGAATTGTTTGAGCGATGGTGGAGTGGGGGACAACGATTATTTCTCTCTGTGTTACCTCTAGTCCTGACCACCACACGGTGCCGTCAGCCCAGACAGGGCTGTGCTGTTCCATCCTGGTCTCAGGAGGGGAAACAAGGAAGATGGAAGGGGATGGAGCAGTGGGGGGAAAAGAGAGCAGGGAACCCTAGTAGATGAAGGAAGATGTGCTCTGAAAGAAATTATGTCTAAATCAAAACAAAAACCTGACATTAATGTCAAAAAGAAATATTTAGGGTGTTTTCATGTCTCCTTTTTGTCAGGAACTATAGCAATTGGTGATGAGACCCTTATAAAACATCTCTTTTTAGAGAGAAGCCTGTTCCAAAACTGAGGATGAAACATCTAATAATGAAGAAGACTACAAATAGGCATCTGGATTTTCTTACAAATAAAATAGATAAAATGACTTCCAGTTTAATACATCACTAGATTTGCAACCATTTACATATTTCTAATATTTCCCTAATGGGGCCATTATTCTTTAAAAAATCATTCTCATCAAAATCATCTACTTGAAATAGGTTGTCCTATTTCCTTTATGAGTAAACCGAAGATTTCTGCAAGAACAATTTACTTCAGCACTTGATTTTTATCTACATCCCTTTTGTTAATCTGGGTTATAGTTATAGTGAAACTGTCACCAATACAAAGCAGCCACACTTCCCCTGTGGCAATTAGCAGCCAAGTGCTACCCATAAGTTTTGTGGCATAACCCAAGTTCAAGTTCCTCCCTCTCAGGCAAGAGATGATGCCTCACCTCAGGTTAAGTCCTGAGGAACAACCTGAAGAACGACATGCCAAAGCCTACCTCTCACCTGCTCCTCTGGGTGGCTGAGTCACGGCCCAGATGGCAAGGTCTCCTTTACCAAGTCCAGGTCTTCCTTACGGCTCTGCCTCCGCAAACCAGTAGTGTGGCAAGAGTAATGTTACCAATCACATGGGGTATTTTATGATAGGATCAGAGAAATCTGATCTTCCAAACATTCTAGGGGGTTTTCACAGTCATTTGGTAGCACCGATTTGAATGTACAAGACACACCAAGCATTAGGGCTAGAAGGAGCCGTTAGTACTACCTGATGACAACCCAATGCCTGGAGAGATTGCAAAGTTCCTGGGCTAGAGCACTAGTCTCAAAGCATCTCTTCAGTGCTCTTTCCTGTTCATGTCATGTCTTCTTTCTATTTGTCATTTCCTTTTTTATTTCATTATATACTTAGATACACAACCACAAATTAATGTAATAGATTCTACCAAGTGGACTTGTATGCAACCTGAGGTGCACATATATGTGTGACTGAGCAGATGCATTCACCCTGAAATGCTCATTTTTAAATATTTTCACAATAGCCTCATGAGCAAAAAAACCTTCTTAGCTAAGCATAAGAATGTGTGGTAATGAACGGAGACCAGCAAACTCTCATATAACAGAAGGATCTTATAAGATGTGATAAAGTACTGGGTAAGGTGGTCCCACGGCACAGTCAAGGTTATGAACTAAAAATATCCTGGCTTTTCTTTCTCAAGCTCATTGTGTTGTCTGTGCCCCCTGGTTGCATCATAAGTGTGGCGATTTTCACAAGAAATGCATGGTGACTGTAATGTTGTCAAGAAGCAATGACAGTGCAAAAAATAAGAAATAAGGTCAAGGCTTGAAATATATTCTCACCTTTTCAAGTTGAGATATTCAAATAAATTATTGATACCTAATATTAGTGATTGAACCTGAACAATGAAATAAAGAAATGAGGTCATTTACCAAAGAGATCAACATGTACATATAATGAACATATATGTGGAAAGACATACACGTGCACTTGGAGAGCCACCCTGCTAGACTGGAAGCTCCGTCCCCATCGGGGAGCCTGTGGGTGGCAGGTTGGGAGGGCAGCAGTGTGCTCTTTGGTACGATCCCCCTGTGCTTTGCTCTCACTCACCACGCTGTCCTTGGAAGGTATTGTTGCGTATATACATTCTCAGGTTTTCCTGTTTTATTCCCCTTTTCTTTTCCCTCAGAGGAAAGAGGTGCAATGATTTATAACTTAATAATGCCCCCATCATTAGAAAGTTTTACTTTCTACTATCAAAACATGAAACACTGAATGTTTCTTTATTATTACTTACGAAAAATGATATAATTTGTTACCTTCAAAGTCCACATCTCCAACTAATTTTGTCTTTTCTGTCACTGGGTCGTGGACATAGTTGATTCCAACATCAATTACAGCAGCACCTTCTTTAATCATATCAGATGTAATCAACTGTGGAATACCTGGAAGCAAAGCAGAATTGTAAAACAATCTAGACAATTCTTAAACTTGGTCATGAGGACAGCATAACAAAGGTTTATACATCTAACGATTTTGTTGTCATGGCTTTAAGAAATATACAACACCCACTGTTCTTAACTGTACTGATTATTTCTGATCAAGCAGAAGAACAAAGCTAACACATGTGGGCTTCTGTGCATAGAATCCGCCGGCATTGACCTTTTTACCTATGAGACTGTCCACCAGATGTCTCCAAATGGACACCTGCTGGAGCAGCACTTGAGTCTTTCATGTACGACAAAAGGCATTGGGAGGTTATGGAGCTGGATGAGCCTCCTGCTGAGATTCAGTGGAGTGGAGTACAGTGAAAACAACTCAGAAATTAAAAGCAGACAAAAGGAAGAGAGGGAGGGAGGAAGGAAAAATAAAAACAGTAAGGATGGTAACAATTCACATTCCTCCATGTTGTGGTAAACTGTAGAGTGTTATACACATATTCCAAACATGAAGTGCTATCTTGAGCTTTTCTTTTAATTTTTCTTGATTTCTCTAAGATATAGTTAACTTGACTCACTATTTCTCCATTCCAGTTTGAAAGATAGCTTTACAGAGATCTTATGTCACCATCTATTTTTTGTATTTTCAAATTTTATTTCAAGTACAACAATATTAGCAAATGGCTAAGTTCCAGAGTTTTTTTATTAAGATAAAAATAAAAATCACTATAATCTTGATATACAAAGATAAGTATATTTTGATTGTATTCTTTTCCAGGATTTCAAAGTATTTGTATATTACATGTAAAGTAGTATATCTGTAATTTTGTTTAGATTGTGCCTCACTACGTATCTTACCACTTTGTCATTAAAATTAACTTGTGAATATTTTTCCATTTTTTTCAATTATTTAAAACTTAAAAACTGCACGAAATAATTTATTATGGTAATCCACATAATAAATTATTAAATCCTGCATTCTGCCCAATATTTTGTTTTATAAATAATGCAGTGATCGTCATTTATGTTTAGGAAACTCCAGATGATTTCTTAACTAAAGCATCAAATTGAACAAAAATTTTCACTGAACCCTTATATATGTGATGGAAAAACTTGGATTAGTGGGAAACTCCTGTTGGGACAGTCAAAGCTCTTTAAATAACCAGTTCTAAAACTGTTGATCACTGCATCTGCAATGTCTATTGAGGCCTTCCATGAAGAGTATTTGTTAGTGCCACTTTCAAAATTTTTATAAAGAACTTAGAAGAACACGTTGGTGTTGGGATGGTTATTTTATCCTTGTCCTCCAGGTCCATTTTCCATGCCTCTGTGATCTATGCCAGGACTGAGGCCGATCCTTACAGAGATCTAGTGTGCTTCCTATTATCCTGGGAACACTGTCACAGCCATGAGAACTAGCTCAAGCCAGACTGCTGGAGGACACAAGTCCTGGCGAGGAGAGCTGAGTCGCTCCCCCGAGGCCATCCTAGACCAGTCAGGCTCCAGCCACCCTCTGGCTGAAGGCGGATGCTGGAGCGCATAGTCAAGATCAGAAGGAACAAGTCAAGGTCGCCGCCATAACTGGCCCACTGAACCATAAGACGTGTGAGATTTTTTTCAAAAAGGTGGTTATTTAAAGTGCCTTTTTTTACACAGCAAAAACTGCATAGCCTATATTCACAAATGACACAAAATTGGATAGAATAGCTAGAAGGTAGCCACTTTGGAATAATGGACAATAAGTAGCATGAATTTAGAAGAGGATAAATGTATAATTCTGACTAGATACCGTATTTGATTAAAAACTCATTAATAACTATTAGGCTATAATACTAAAACAAATAGTGTTCAGATATAAGGAAGTAATGCTGTTATATTTTTTAGCAGACTCTCTCTATAGGCATTGGTTATAATCTATGGAAGAATGATTAGAATGGATCTAGAAATCATGTTATGTGGAACAAGTGCTATCAAATTAGTTGGCTCAACTGTTTATCTGCAATAAGATAAAAAAGCTTGTGTCACAAGATAAAGCCACTATATCACTAAACACAGGGCTTAATTCAGCTAGCTTTATTTTGTCACAGTAAGACTTTTTCAATAAAAGGAGTAGTATGTTGGTTTATTTTCTGCCACAGCTCCTTGTGAACGTATATAACATATAGTTCCCAAAGGGTAAGAAACAATTGGAGACCAGTCCTAGCCCACACACTGGGTACCATCCCACAGAGGAATGGTTCAATAAATTCAGGCTGCCTATCTCAGAAAAAAATACAACTGAAAACAAAATCAAAACCCAGTCATTGCAGTAGTGTCTTCAATATGTTCAATGAAATAAAAAATGTATTTATTCTGTGTTTTCAGAAGGAAGACTAAAGGGAACACAGGAAGGGAATAGGTTTTAGTTCAACATAGAGAATATTTTAACACTAATAAAACGCATCTCAAAGGGAAACTTTATACTGTCCTTACTGCTCATTATAAATATTCACATTAAAGTAAGTAAGGGATATAATTGGGAAGATTAGTGGTACTTTCTGACTTTATGATATAAACATTCTCTTTTGTCTGGTCAAATTGAAAAAAAATTGTTTCTTTCTTCTCTCAATTAACTGGTTTCAGAACAGTTGTAGACATCTGACTCTATAAAAGGCCCAACTAAGAAAAGAAAGATAATACAAATTATACTTAATGATTGAAATCATAATGAATAAACATAAAAAATCTCTATTTTAGATATGTTAAATACTCTAAGTCATCCACTTACATTGTTGTCCTGTAGAGGAAAATGATTGATATATTTTCTTCTCAGAGTATACAAATGCAATATATTTAAATTCTTATCACTTGATACAGTGATATATCACTATATATAGTGATATATCACTATATATAGTGATATATATAGTGATTTCACTATATATAGTGAAATGGCATGAAAAACTATTTAAATATTTGGTAAAGAAAATAAATACATACGATGTGGAGTCAGAATTATTTTCTTTCTGTACAAGTTGAAAATGAAGAGTAATTTCAAGGGAACATTTTCTATGAACTTTATGGTTTTTATGTGTGCTAATTTCTGTGATAATTCCATGGAAGCCTTTCCTTAATTCTTATTTAATTTGAAGGCTCAAGCGTTATATGTGAGAACCGAAACCGTCCACACCCACAGAGCTTACTGTGCACATTAATGTGACTTTATTCTTCTACTTCCAGGAAACTCTTGCTCAGAAAGATAAAAGCTGCAAGTAATTTTATCTCAGGAACTTATACACAAGCTCATTTTAATTAACATCAAACTGTTTGACTTTTCAGTAGTTGGCATCGAATGACTGTTCCCCGGGACTCTTGGGATCCCTTGCTCCAAAATCCTCTCCATGCTGTGTCCACTGGTCCTAAACTTTTGTATTATGATCCTTATCTAATCTTAGTCAAACCTCTGCATTCAAAGACTTGCCTTGAACTTCAACATCTCCTAAATATCCCAACTTTGCTTCTATAACCTAAGATGCTACTAGAGTAAATAATCTGAAACTATGGGGATAAAAACAAAATCCCTGATTTGTGGAATCTGATGATTTGCTTGGCATAAATATTCCTACTATGGCTGACTTTAAGCTACTAAGGTGAGAGCACTGAACATAGACTTGGAAAGAAATGCTCAGAATCAACTTTGTCAGGCTGATAGGGGCTGGATCTATAGCATACTACTGCTCCTGAGGGGCTGTTCAAAGGGTCTTCCCATACTCTGTAACCATAAACTCAGATTTGTCTAAACAATGGATTCTTTGGGTAATATTTGGGAGGAGCCAGCATTCAACAATATTAGGGATCCATACAGACTTAATCAAGAACCTCTCTTATCCATGCTCCAGGACCTCAACTGGAAAACCATGGGTGCCTCTGTGGCCCCTTGAGCCTCTTGCTGGGATGGGGAGCTATTGCTGGCCTCTTTGACTGGGATGATAACCTAAGTCTCACATTGAATCTGAACTGATTTCTTTTCATCACAGCTCCCCAAATGCTGAATTTATTTTGACTCCCATGAATAAGAAACCCTTTTAAGGAATTTGATTATACAATCAGTTAAAAATACCTTTATCCTAATCAGTCTTAGAACGCATGCGTCTTTGTCCCTGTCATTTTTGCTCTCTATCTGTAAGGGAAAAGTTCACAGGCAAGGGATGGGGTAAACCAGATTAATCTATTCTTCAAAATGACCTTGAGGACTGAGGAATCCTGTGTCTTTTGGACTTTGGAGAATCCTGTGGAGAAACTTTGCCTCAGGTCACTTGGCAAAATTTTATGAGAACTTTCCTCAGTGTTGTATTGTTTTTATTTTCTGTGAAACCTCTCCAATCCTTTCTACCTGCTGGGAACTGCAAATTAGTCAGGCCTGCAGCTGGAGATGGGCCAGAAATTAGGCGGGGCAGGGTGGGGTGGTGCTGAGGCGCAAGGTATACACATAGCACTTTCAACTGACCGGTGCCAGACTCTCCCGGATTTACCTCAGTCTAAACCTGAGACTGAGCCTCTCTGAGGCAGACTCCTGCTTCTTACATGTACTTACACCATAGCCCACATTCTTATAATTACTTTTCTAAATGGCGTCATCTCATCGAGGAAAATTTAGAATTACAGTAGTCATTCTGAGGAACTTTTGTTGTGTACAGAAGTGTTTGTTTGAAAGGTTCTTTAGAATAGAAAGGTATAAAATCCAAACATTCAACAATCTGCACATTTTAAATGATTCTGAGGAAGTATCCAAAGGTGTATTTAGATCCCACAGTTGTTCCCTTAAAAAGATGGCCAAGGCAACATTCAAAAAAAAAAAAAAAGAAAAACTAAAAATGGTCTTTGATTTAGATTCCTCCAAATCTCAGCAGAAGCCTCACAGTCCTTATCTTATTACCCCTCTTCCCCCAGCTCTGTTTCTCCGTTTCCTTCTGACTTGTTCCTTTTCCCTCCTGGATGGCCAGAGACATCCAAAGTGCAATTACCTC